GCCTGGGGAAATTCGCATGCGAGGAAGGAGACAGAACTAGCAAACTGGGGTATTAATTAATAAAAAGTTCTGCCTTCTGTAACCAACGATGAGCTGACGCCTTCAGTCATTAAAATGTCCTGATGGTGCAAAGCTTTGCTGATGGGGGAGCAGGGGAGCAGCCTTTGGAGGAACCCCCAGCTGCTGCTGTGCCGAGCCGAAGTGGGAATTGGGGAAAAAAATGAGAATTGGGGGAAAAAACAGGAATTGGGGAAAAAAAAATTGGGTTAAAAATTAGGAAAGAGACAAAATTGGGGCAGATTTGGGGAAAAATGGTCCAAAAAAGGTAAAAGATTTGTTCAGATTTGGGTAAAAAAGTGCCATCTGTTTAAATGGAGTTAGCTGTCCCATTTGCTCATTTTAAGTGTTACCTTTTCCAGCATTTCAAGGGTTTAAAGCTGCATTTCAGGGCACTTCTACCCACACCCCGGCACCAAATATTTCCAACGGGAGCAGGCCCAGCGGGTATGTAACGGTAATGCCACCTGGGAGTCCGTTCTTTTTCTTATTTTCATTTATAATGTAGAGAGCCCTGATTAAAGGTCCCTATGAGACACCATTCATATCAATACTATTCTTCTCCACCCTCATTAATCACAGGTGGAGTGCTACTTAGCAATCACTAAAAAATAATTATGCAAGTCCATAAATTATCCAACTTAGCTGGCAAGACTGCTGAAACACAAAGTTTTTCTTCTTACCTTTATTTTTTCCTTTGCTCCATTGCTCTGAGTAATTCTAGCAAAAAAGAAAACACTGCTTTTTCCCAAAGAGTTTTCTTCTATGCAGAGCTCCTTACCTCAAATTTAACTCAGAGGAGCCAAACAGCTACAGTCCCTCTGAGGGCTTTTATACCCCCTGGGATTTGCCGCCTCCCCTTTCCCAGGCATCGTGGGAAAAAGAGGCGGGCCCAATTAGGGGTATATTAACCCCAGGCTGTGCTAAGGGGCATTATTCCTTCTAGAGGAATCAGCTTGGGTAAAGAGCTCCTCTCTCATTTCAGTGAAGAGGCTCTTTCACCTTACTTCAGCCTGCTAAAAGCAGGCATCTTTTGGGCATTTGAAGCAGCAGAAGTTTTGAAGACACCTTGAAGAAAACAATATTGAATACAGGGAGTATTTAAGTTAATGATTCTGGGCTGGGGGTTCAGGGGCGATAAGATGCTTTTATAATGACTCTTCTTCATGGCTTTTTTTTTAGGAGGATTGCAATTTCCAGAAGTTCTAGATCACGTCAAGTGCGATGTTTCTGATTCTCTCAGCAGATTCATCGTAACACAAAGGGAACCGCCCCCACAGCAGCTTTCCTTAGCAGCAGATCGGCCTCTCGCACGGATTCGCTTCGGAGAGATAAGTCGAGGGCTGTGGTCACAGAGGGGATCAAAACAGGGCGGTGGGGTAGGATTCACACCGGTTAGGGGTTTTGAGTCATGCGGAGGGGAAGGTTTGAGAAATGGCCTCTGGGGCCACAGTGAGGGAAAGGCTCACTTTAGCTAACAATGCTGAGGTGGGCAGGGCAGAGCAGTCCCAGGGTGGGTTGTCACTTGTCTCTCGTGCTTTCGTATCTTCTGTGCATCTCATGTAAAGCGTCTCTTGCCTTAGCCCTCCCAGGAGCTTATGAGAAAGACCAGGTCCTTCCGTTCATCTCCCATCTTTGCGTTCCTCGGCCCGACGCCGGCGAAACTTCGATTCGGGAGCTCAGACAGGCATCAGAATCGCATCTGTCTTTAGAAGCATGTGATCGGATGTTTTTTTAGGTCTTGTTCTCAGCTGTGTTGACAGCTATGTGCAGCAATGTTTCTTTACAGTGGATAAGGACTTGTGCCGATTCAAAGGCAGGCAGAGGCTTCC